TTCACAAATTTTATTAATATTTCTTGATGCGTTTATCCAAATTATAGAAGATAAGAAACAATTGATTGAATTTGAAGTTCTGAAAAAACTAGTTGCATTTGAGATTATAACCTGGATAAATGACAATTAAGATGTCGATCGAATGATATCATCTTTAATGATGGATTTGAAAAGTTTAATGTGTCGCGGTGCGGGTGATGAATATGGATAGGACAACAATAATACCGATGGCGCCAAATTAAGGTACAATAGTTTAACGGTTAGGGCAGGGTAAAAATAACCTAAATAGGTTCCGAACTAAAATCCATAACTTTTAGTCAAAATCCATAACTTTTAGTCAAGTTTTAATACCATAATTAAGAAATATATGGATTTGTTATTATTCCAAATAAATCATTGTAATATTTATAGATAGACACAATATCTTATCTAATTAATATAAATATTAAAAAATAGAAATAAAAATCAAATTTAAATATTACATAAGTTTTCCATTAAAACGTATGGTGGAAAATTGAGATGAAGACATGTCAACGGTTTAGGCGGTTTGTCTACGAGTGATCAAAATAATTATTCACTATTCTTTAATTACGTACATTACATTATAATAAATTCATTTTTTTAATTACATATTATTCACTTGTCAATGTATATGTCTTATGCACATATATATAGCATATAAATATATATATATATAGGATATTTTTTATTCGTGTCTAATGACACAGACATTTGCTTGTGCAATGAGAACAGTTATTATAAAGGGGAATCACACATTTTAGATATACGCATTAAGGCGTCGACTTTTACGACTTGTGTGCGTTATATCTATGTGCGAAGCCGTTGACTTTTACTCGTGGCACTGTATGTATATGCGCGCGTAAAACGACGAGCGCTTATCCTTAATTAGACCTGATCATATAGCAATCATTCATGCTAACTATCAAACTATAAGTTCGTAACCAGAATGTATTCAACTGATAATTGATCTGTACGTTGATAGTGGTCTGATTGGTCGGACCGTTTTACAACCCATGAAATTTCACCTCAACATTTCGGATATCGGAGGTTCAAAACCAAACCGACCACAAACATTATATATATATATATATATATATATATATGATACATACCTAATTAAATAGAAAATTTGGCTGACAACATCAAGTTATTCTCAAATTGTAATACCGTAACAATAATTACAAAATACTACCTCTTATTTTCCATTGAATATATATATATATATATTCAAATTCGGTACATATTTATCTTGAGAATACATAAAAACCAAACATTTATACCATATCGTTTGAACTCGAAGCAAATAAATTATGGATTCATATGTAAATACTAAATACTAGGTCAATACCTACGCTATACATGTATTTCTATAGAGATTTATAATTCATATTGCATATAAAATATTTGCAACTATATATAAAAGCATAATGATACACATGACTAAGATGTTTACATTTATATTTACTTATTTCTTACTACACCGACTTAACAATTTAAAAATATATTTAATTTCTTGATGTAATATTGTTTATAATATTGTTACCATAAGAATATTGGTCACATTTCTATCATACACATGGCAGCACCATCCTAAATTTTATATACATAATACATTAGAAAATATGATCGGTTTACGTGATCAATAGAATTAAAAAAAAATATCTATTTACTCAAAATCATTCGAGCGTATTACTTATAAAATATAATTCATGTATTTTAAACCAAATCAAACCGACTTAACCGACCATAGACTAACGCTAATAACGTCCATGATCACATATTCTGATTGGGTTAATTACTTTAGTTTTTAAACCTTTATAAACGTCGCATGAGCGATTCGCCACAAAAAGCCCTTTCACTTAAAGAGAGCATCCCAAGCTCGCATAATTAAATATTGGGATTTTTTTTTTAAAATCACACTCTTTGAAAATTCGGACTATATATATATTTTTTTATATAATTTGAAATGGATTCCGGTCCCAACCTCTTCTCCCAAGGAAACAATTCTTATATTTGACACTAAAGTGTAATTTTAAAGATAAAATCTGTTCTAGAATGTGAAGCAGGTGGAAGGATTTGTGGCAGCGTTTAATCGTTTGACGATTTGAGGTCCAAATCTTTTTTTTTTTAGATTAAAAATTACTCAACATATTTCTGTTGAAAATAGAAAAATAAACGAGACACTGTCTCCGAGCAATTTTGCTGTAAATATTTATTAAAATTAGTGTTAGACAAAATATATTGATAAAATCTAACTAATATGATCTTCATAATCTGAATTGTAATATTTGCATATTTGAATTTTCATGCGTTCGATAATCGGGATTCAATGAGGCACAGGTCCTTCGGGAAAAGAGAGAACAATTCATAGTGGGGAGGCAAAAGAAAAAGGAATAAGGAGGTAATAATAATTAGTCATCCGGCTACTGAAGAGAAGAGTGAGTCCATTGATTTTGATGGGACGATACCAAAATTCGATGTGAGAAAAAAATAAATGCATAAATGCATGGGGACCGGTCACGCATGATGATCAATCCTCATCCGTTCATATTTATTCTCCTCCCTGTTATCAAACACTCAATAATTTCTTTATTTTTGGGCAATAAAGAGAAAACACCAAAAAATGAAAATGAAAGGAATATAAGAATAAGGAGAGGAAGAAAAGAAGATCAAATGCATTTCCTTTTCATCTCTTCCCTTTATATTCTTCGAGATCTCACCATTAGTTTCTCCGAAACTATCTTCACGAATCCGTCGGAAAATATTCTGTAATTTAGATATTGGTATCAGAAACTCGGAAAATATTCCTTTTTTATACATTTTTGAGAATTGTTGGATTATGATACTCCAAGTGTCGAGGGCCGAGAAAACATCCCTGGACCTGCAAAACCAAAATGACTTATGAAAGATCCGGTCAACGTGTTGTTGACTGGCTTCCAATGATTTTCCATTCCACACGCAGCTGCAGTACTATCAGTTAATTTGTTGTTCTAATGGCCATCCGGTAATTTCCGCCTGATTTAACAAAGATCGAGTTAAGCTAGTCTTATGGGGTTGTCTTATATGGGTTTATAAAAGTTGATTAAGGGGGCTCACACAAAACAAAATGTAAAAAGAAAAAAAAACTTGTTAAAGATTTGATTAGAAAATATAGGAATAAATCATAAACCATTTGTTTTCTTATCTACACGAGTGCAAACAAACACCATATACAAATAAGCACATGTATATATATATACCACATGAAGGAGTAGGGTCCAGAATTAGGAGCCCAACTTGCAAAAGTTTTAATTTTTAATTTGTACCCATAAATGAATACCTCTTACAAAAATAATATATCCAAACTAAACGCATATATATAGGGAAGCCTGGAGACAAACATAGTTCTCTCAAACACTTGAAACCCACAAAAAGAGAGAGAGAGAGAACAAAAATGGGCATAGAGCTACAGAGCCATCAGACCAAAGCGGCCACGGGGGAGGACCCAAGCCACAGCGGCGGCGGTCAGCTGTTGATGGATTCTCCGGAGCCACCGACACTATGGCAAGAACTTGTTAGGTTCATAAGAACAAGTGTGTTCTCCAAGAAGAGTTCAAAGAAGGACAAGAACTCAAACCCGGTTTTGTTTTGTCTGAAATCGATTTTCCCCATACTTACCTGGGGAAGACACTACAAACTCAACATGTTCAAGAAGGACGTAATGGCCGGTCTTACTCTTGCCAGCCTCAGCATTCCCCAGGTCATAAACCAATTTTATACGGACTATATAATATGTGAGAAATCTTGTGTTCTAAGAAATACTTTGATTCCACAGAGTATTGGGTACGCAAATCTTGCCAAACTAGATCCAGAGTATGGTCTATGTAAGTGGAGAACACGAACTTTTATCCACTTACATACTCTCAAAACGTTAACAAGGAGTAAATTAAGACAATTTACATGAATTTAATTAGATACAAGTGTGGTTCCACCTCTAATATACGCAACAATGGGAAGTTCAAGAGAGATAGCCATTGGACCGGTGGCCGTGGTTTCGTTGCTGCTTTCGTCAATGATTCAAAACCTTCAAGATCCGGTGGCTGACCCACTCGCTTACCGGAACCTCGTTTTCACGGTCACCCTTTTCGCCGGAACGTTTCAAGCCATCTTCGGATTGTTCAGGTAATTAATAATATCAACATTTTCTAAATTTTCATTGTTTTCAATACGTACGAAGGGGGAAAGCAGATAGGTGGACGTGGGTTAACCTAATTAAGAACATTAAGTTGTGGTTCAAAATTGGGAAAAGAAAGTTTATGCCAGAAGAGTGAATGAATGCCTTCCTCACAATGTTATAATAGAGATTCGCTGTTCTATGATATAAAAATATTATCCCTTACAATAATATTATATCTTGGACCGACCCACGAAGGAGAAATTTATGTAAATCATATATATTCCGTTTCAGATTAGGGTTTTTGGTGGATTTTCTGTCACATGCTGCACTTGTCGGGTTCATGGCCGGTGCTGCCATTGTGATCGGCTTACAACAGCTAAAGGGTCTGCTCGGTTTGTCACATTTTACCGATAAAACCGACATTGTTTCGGTTTTGGGTTCGGTTTTTCACTCGCTCCACCATCCGGTATATGCATTGCTTAATTGATTTTTTTTCAAGTCTTTGAAGAACGTCATATGGTTTTGTTTTGCTTGAATTATGTAGTTAATCTATGTAATTATATATTTAAGTTTCATAATTATTACTTGTTTTTAATTTTTTCGTGCAGTGGCACCCTCTGAATTTTGTCATCGGCTGCTCATTCCTGATATTCATCCTACTTGCTAGATTTATCGTAAGTAATCCATTAAAAGTTTAGATATAATTTGTTTTTTTTACAATGCAAAAAAATTGTCCCTTTTTTTATTATTAAATATTTTATTTTTTTTAATATTTCAGGGGAAAAGGAAGAAAAAGTTGTTCTGGATACCAGCGATAGCACCGTTAATATCAGTGATATTAGCAACATTGATTGTATTTCTAACAAAAGCAGATAAACGTGGGGTTAAAATTGTTAAACACATTAAACGAGGGATTAACCGGTCTTCCGTTAGCCAATTACACTTAACCGGTCCAAATCTTGGTCATTTGGTGAAAATAGGTCTCATCTCAGCAGTCATCGCCCTCACGGTTAGTACTCTAATATATATATATATATATATATATATATATATATTTATTTATTTATTTATTTATTTATTTATTTTTCAACGTTTCACAGTATAAAACGAATTATTAAATTATATTATTCATTTTTTAGGAAGCAATTGCGGTTGGGAGGTCGTTCGCTTCAATCAAAGGGTACCATCTTGATGGGAACAAAGAGATGATGGCTATGGGATTCATGAACATTGCCGGTTCTTTAACTTCTTGCTATGTTGCGACCGGTACGTTTCAATTTTTCCGGTTTATCTTATTTTCCCCACAATGAACCGTACCGAGCTAAACCAAGAAAAAAGGGCATCAAACCTTCAAGCCTTGAAATGCCTTGGGAAGCATTAGGGTTTCGATCCTCCAATCCATATATGTAGTCTTTGAGACTAACCCTCCATACTTAATGTCCAAGATTGATATGATTGATACGTGAAATTAGTCTTCGAAACCGAATTTGGTAAATTCGTAGTCGGAAATTCGACCTTTTTATTCGATAGCCATAAACGCTCACCCGACATTCAAGTATCCATGTGGAGAAGAATATAATTGAGAATTATGAAGAGTTCACTCAATTGATATAGAGATATTAACGACGTGATATTCGTTCCAACGAAGAATTATGGAGACGGATCGTGTTTATATAATTCTGAATTCAGGATCATTCTCGAGGACGGCAGTGAACTTCAGCGCGGGGTGCGAGACAACGATGTCGAACATAGTGATGGCGATAACGGTGATAGCGGCGTTGGAGTTGATGACGAGGTTATTGTATTACACTCCGACCGCAATCCTCGCCTCAATCATCCTATCGGCTCTTCCGGGCCTCGTGGACGTCTCCGGAGCTCACCACATTTGGAAACTCGACAAGCTCGACTTCCTTGTCTGTCTCAGCGCTTTCCTCGGCGTCCTCTTCGCCTCCGTCGAGATTGGCCTTCTCGTCGCCGTAAGTTCACTCTTTTCTTCTACTCCGGGAGTTCACATATATAATTAATTACCAATTCATATTTTAAAAAAAATATTTACATCATCCTATCCTATCCCTTAATTAAAATCTATACTAAAGGACACTAACTGTCCATTCTTTTAATCATTCCTACAATTACGAAAAAATAAACCCATTTTTATTTATTTATTTATTTGATTTAAATCGCTTAGAACTAGACAATCATGGATGCATATGTGATCTAGCCATTAGGACTAATAAAAATTTGCAAAAGAAATTAAATGGCTTATATGATCTTAGAATTTTCCATATCCAAATAGCTAGTTTGACAATTATATGCATGATTGTATGCACATCATGGCATCAATTATTGTTGAAAATAATAAAATTTGTCGATTGGATCAAATCCGACAAGACTTTTATGTGCAATAAATTGTTATAACTAAACCCACAGGGCCGACCAAAACTGCTTGGCCATCTACACCGGAAAATGCATTCATATATACGTTTCACACTCACGAGACTATATATCTATACATACACGTATGGAATACATATTTTTTATTGGTAAGAATCTCATAATTGAGTTCTGGTCATTAATAATAATAATAATAAAGTATTTCTCTCTCTGGCTTTTGTGGATAAGGCTTATCTTTCTGGCCAAACCCTTGAAGTGGATCCACCTAATTGTTCTTCGTCAATCGTGTTTAGTCATATATCAATTCAATACTGGCAAATTAATAACACATATAGATACATACATATATATATATACAGTCAACTAGTCCAAATTAAAATAATCCAAATTCGAATTGGCACAGAATCATCAAATAAAGATAATAAACTATAATGACTACTAAACGTTGCATTCTATCATAATTCCTGTAAGATAATAAAATTTTGAATGAATTCGATCGTATATATTAGAATAAATCGAAATGTAACGACAGAATACGATTATTAAGCAGGTAATAATATCGTTTGCGAAAATACTGCTGAGCTCTATAAGACCCGGGGTTGAAGCATTAGGGAGGTTGCCAAGAACAGATGTGTTCTGTAACATAAACCAGTATCCAATGGCTTCCAAGACTCCTGGAATCTTCACTGTTCGCGTTAGCTCTCCTATGCTTTGCTTTGCCAATGCCAATTTCATTAGGGACAGGTTCCTATTTATAACTTTCTTCCTCATATCATAAATTTTATTTTGTATCTTACATATATATATATATATATGTAACAACATCTGACGTTTGTGTATTCTTGGTATTGGTCATTAAAGGATATTGAATGCAATTGGAGATGAAGACGAACATGAAGGAGATACCAAAAAGGAAAGCGTTCGAGTAGTCGTTCTCGATATGTCTTGTAAGCATCTATCCTTCATTTGTTTTTCCAATATGACATTTTCTTGAAACTTCTTTTTTTTTTCTGGGCATATAAATAAATTAATTAAACAAAATTAAAATTTGGTTTCTGAAGCTTGACTCTTTCTTTATCCAAAATAAAATGGCAGGTGTGATGAGCGTTGATACGTCAGGACTGATTGCAATTGAACAAATACAGAAAGGGCTCATTTCCAAAAGTATACAGGTATTAAAAAAAAACTTTAATACGCAATTATTGACATATTATAGTTTCAATTATTGTTTGGTAAAATAGCATTTGTGTAACTTTCGAAGTAGTTTTGACCATTATATTAGGACATATATTTTATTTTAGCGTTTAATTCAAAGGTTATTCTTGTCTTTTAATAGTTCAAAAAATAGTTTTCAAATGAACATAGAACTGCTTATTTCGAATATATATGTATACACATATAGATTATTTAACTAATTTTCTGCAGTTTATTTTAAATGTTATCGAATGTCATAAGCATGAAAATTTTTGCATATAATGGAATGATCAACTGAATACATATATATATATATATATATATATAT